ACCGATAAAATAATTCAACCAAACAGTGCAGTTGCTGCTGAATTTTGAAAAAAGTTTAGCTTCCAGAATTAATATGCCACGAATCAAAGAAGGCAAGTAAACATTTATTGCTGGAAAAGCAAAAAACATTTCGACACCACTTACCGACACTTGAAAATACACCAGGATTGTTAGCGCAGTACTGTCGAGCAAACGCATTAACCATTCGATCAATTTTCTGGGACTCACCAGGTAACCGAAACGACCATAGAAACTGCCTTAGTGCTTGGACAAGAATAAGGTCAGTAAAATCATGCAATTCGCAAAATTTTTCTAATACTTCCAAATTAAAAGAATCATTCTCTCCAAGGTAGTCACCAACAGCACTTTTGCGAAGCCCTAAAATAGCTCTACCAGATGAAGAATAATTTGTATTAAGAAAACTAACAATGAAGAGCAGATGAACCCTTATGACGAACCTTCCCCACGAAATAAAAATTCTGCTACTGCATCAGGAGTCGCTTTTATAAGACCGTGTTTCATCAAATATTCCATTCCTTTCTTAGGATCCATATTGAAATTCTTACGGGCAATGCCCATTTGCCTCCCACTACAATTAGACCTATAAATTTTCCGAAAATGCAAGAAGCTGTTGTTGATCACAGCCGAATACGGTTACCCTGAATGACTTTACGCTGCGAACTGTGAAAGATCATGAGTGTTTGCGCAGAAATGAATAAAAAATATTACGTGCTCTTCTTACTAAACATCTTCAACCTTCACATAAAAAAACCAAGCCTCTACAGCACTTACTCTTCATCCGAAACATCGCTAGCTGACAATTTTGCATTAATATCGTCCAATTCTGAACGAATTTCCTAAAACAAAACAAAAAGTGGAAACTTGCCACACGAAGTAAAAATTACACATATTTGAAGAAATGCAAATACATATAAACTACTAGCCTCAACTTCACTATTGATATTGTTTCGCCGAGTTCGCAAGTATGCAAGATCCTCTAGTTCCGCTGGTGTTAAATTGGCACCGTTGAAACATGCCATTATAAGTTTAATCTATCGGAAGACATTAAGCATCAAAAGAGAATCATATCCTCTTTTCTTCTTATCATAAGCGCGAAAGAACCTTTAAAGACAAAACCACTGACTAAAGTTCCAGCATAAAATAGTTTTCTCAAAATTTATAGAAAATTTCTACGCGAAATCCAAGACAAACGCCTATATATGTGCACGTATATACATATATGAAATAATTAAGTAAATAAAGAAATAAGTTTACACATGTATATAAATTTAAATATAAATATAAATAATTAAATAAATAAATAAATAAATATATATATAT